ACGGGCCGGGTTCACACAGCTCGGCTGCGAGAGCGAGCGCCTCGCGATCGAAGAGCAGCGTTTCGTAGCGCGATTTATCTCTGCGCCTTCCTTTTTTCCTCGTCCGAGCGCTCGCCCGACGACCTGCCGAGTGAAAGAGAGAAAGAGAGAGAGAAAGAGAGAAGCCCGGTCGGCTTTTCGGACTTCGTCCGGCGACCAACTCTCGCCTGGCTCGCGAAATCACCGTTAGATGTTGGCAAAATGGCAGAATCCATCTTCCGAAATTCGATTAATTTTCGTACTCCTGGATCCAATCGTGATTCGACGCAACTTTTTCACGCATCATGGTTTTTCCTAACCATTCGTTATAGGGTTTTAGATTCTTTCTCGATTCTTCGATTATATTGGATCATCTAAAAAGTATCCGCGATTTTTTGTCACTAGATGTGTGTTGATGGTCATATATCTAGTGACAAAGTACCGCGGATATTTTTTAGATGACCCAATACTTCTATATCGAATTATACACCGATATAATTTAACTGATGAAAATTCTCTGGCGTATCCGCGATTATTAGATGTAACATGGGTGGAAAAAAAAAGATTCGTTAAAATAATTAAAAACTTCACTGATTCAGCAAATCTGCAATCGTAATATACAAACAGTTAATTTTCTATGTTAAAGTATTAACGAAGTACAGCTGTGAAGAAGATTATCGATTATAGGTAATCACATTTATTATAATATCACAACACAACAAACATAACTTTTTATGAAAATCAATCAAATATATAGATTACAATTTTTAACAAAACATGCTAGTATAAAATGACGCGTACTTTTACTGCTGTAATTAAGAAAACTTGTTATATTAACGTCTTTAGCAATTTTCATTGTAGTAAAGAATTAGCTGAATTAGCATACTAATAATTATTTACAAACATAATTTCTTTGTTGAATCATCATATCTTTTTAGTTATGCTGCGCTACGGAAACGTTATCCGGATGCCTCCATGTATCATCTTATTCTTGTTTAATCTTGGATGAATAACAAGGATAAAACGATACACGGAGGCACTCAGGTAACATTTCTGAACGCAATCTTATAGATGTTGAACTCGTCCAGCTTGCTATAGCTTTGCTTGAACTATCTAATCTATTTTTTTTCCGTGAATCTTTCGTATCTCCACCGACTGCGCGTTATTATATGTCGTTAATTTCGTTAATACACGCGCTGTTTTTTGTTATCGCTTTATTATTTTACAATACGCGCGTCATCTCTGATATTTTAAGATTTTAACGCTTTTCTGCATGAATAAAAATTTATTGTGGCGAGAAAAATGTGTTGAATGTCACAAGTCTTTACCTATATTTTATTTTGGGAAGTATTTGGGGCGCTAACAATTTATTAATTATCGATGAAAGTATAGTTAATTGTTTTCTGAGATAAGACAAGAGCTTTTTTAAATTAAATCTTCATCAAAGCAGACTATCTATCCATGAATCACTTTTAAATATTATATATCATCATATATATCCATTGTTCGATTTTTTTAAAATATAGAACTTCTTTTGATACTTTAAGGATCTAGTTTAAAAGTCGACAAAATCAAAGTAGACGAAATGACTGATTTGTAATTTTTTTATATTACTACAATTTGTAACAATTTGTTATATTTTTAAAATTCTCCGTGACTTTTG